TGGCAGTGGGAGCTCAAGAGGCGCTTCAGCCAAGTTGCCTAGAAGACAGTGGGTCAGGAGAACCAGTATTCCAGCTGTTGGAACATCTCCAGAAAATTTCTTGCTGAGTATGGAGAGTGTTTGTTCTCAGGATGTTCCAGGATCCGGCAGTGTGCGTCTGCAGTGGGAGCCGGTAGGGACCGAGGACGAGTCAGGGACAGACTTTGCCGTGACTGATATGTTGGAGCTTGGGAGAGCTTCAACGGGCCTTTCAGTTGTCTGATGATAGGGCCGCTGCAACAGGAGAGCTGAAGAAGATTACTCGATGTACAGGCGATCGTGGCGGATGGCAGTTGATGTTTATCAAGCCTCCAAGTGGGAGAATGTTGGGCTTTGTGGAGGTTTGGGCTTGACTTTTGGCCCGGCCCATTTTACGAAACCCTAGATGCACTCTTCCTATATATATTGCATTCTTGTACTTGTAATTGACACCACAAGTGAAATAAGAAAATCTTCCCGTTGCAGCCGTGGATTAGGAAAACCGAACCACGTTAAATTCTTGTGTGTCGTTTGTGTTCCGTTTCTCTCTTGATTCTCGCAGATATTTGTGTGTGTTGCGTGTTTAATCCCCAACAATAGTAGTATAACAGACCTATTACCCAAAAATGAAAAGGCCAAAACCGCCCACATTTGATAAAGGTAATGGTTGTTTTTGGCTTTGTTGAAATCGTTTAGGGTTTTTTTGTCAATGCTAGACGTAATTGATTGCTTTTTTTGGGTTTTTGTTTTTAGGCAGTGAGTTTTTTGGGTTTTTTGTTCTTCACTGAAAGTAATTGATTTTTTTGGGGCTTTTGTGTTTGTGGATGCGTGTTTTTTTGGGCAGTGTTATTTTTAACGGTTTCATACGATTTTAATGGTTTTTTTGAATGTTAGACGTAATTGATTGTAATTTTTTGGTTTTTAATTTTTTGGCAGAGTGTTTTTTGGGTTTTTTGGTTCTCCACCGAAACGTAATTGTTTTTTTGTGTGTTTTTGGCTGTGTGTTTTTTTGGGCGGTGTTGTTTTTAACAGTTTCGTAACGGGTCTATAAATAAAGTATTCTCTCCTAAAAGAAAACAATAGTTTTTGGATTCCAAGTTACAAAAGTGATCAAATTGACAAAGTTTTATTGGTTTTTTTGGATTCGGAGGTACAAATGTGTTTTTTTGAATTCCAAGAAACATTTGTTGTTAGTGTGTTTTTTGGGTTTGTTTGTTCTCCATTGAAAGTATTTGGTTTTTTTTGGGTTTTTTTTTGTTTTTTGTCTGTGGGTTTTTTTTTGGTTTTTTACTTAGGCAATGGGTTTTTTTAACTGTTGGCAGTGTGTTAAAATTGTTGTTGGCAATGTGTTTTTTGTGAATTGATGGCAATGAGTTTAGAGAAGAATAGGTAATTGATTAAAGTAGTGAATTTTTCCATTGTTTGGGAGTGGGTTTAGAGAAGAATGAGTAATTGATTAAAACAGTGAATTTCTCCATTTGTTGAAAATGTAAATAGTACCCAATGTTTACTGACTTTGAAATATGTACACAAATGCAGGTGTAATTGTGGTATGTTTGTTGTGAAATTCGTGGAGTTTCTAATGATGGATTTAGGCATAGATAAAGTGCAGTAATGTGACATGGAAGTTTACTGGGTTAAAATGACTACAGAACTTTTAGCTTATAGCTATGAAAGAAAGGAAGAAGCCAGTAAGCAATAGATTTTTTTTGTTAACTTGGATAATTTAATGTTCGTATGACAGTTGTTTGGTGTTTGTTTTTTTAATTTTTTTTGTGGCCTTCATGACAGTTTTTTTTGTTCTAGTAATAATTTATGGGCATTTAATTTATAAGTGATTTGAGAAGTGGATTAGTGGAGAGTTTTTTACAAGTTCTTATAATTGATTTGTACGAAGTTAGAATATGCGTTCAAGACATATATTCAATTTGATTTATGTGGTACTGAAAAGATATGGGTAATGGAAAGTATTATGTTGTCACTTTAAAGAATTTTTATGGAGCATACATTGCAACATTTCATAGCATACTGACCAAAATATTGGACATAATACACTGCCAAAAATTATACGCAGATCACGACCATTCCACACTTCTAAAAATGTTTAGGCTTACATTGCACACTTTGTTTGATAAAGTTATATAAGGACTAGTGATTTTGGTGATTGTTTTATATCAACTATTTATGGAACTCAATGAATAATATATGATAGTGAGATTTTTATATATAAATCACATTTGACAAAAAGACACTAACCAAGCGTGGTCGTAGGACACTGCCAAAAATTGTTGATAGAAGTTGGCAGACCCCAATTCGGTTTAGAGATGTGAGATTTAAATCCTTAAGTTCAATATACACTGCAATGTATACACTCTTCACTGCCACATTATATATAAGTATGAAATTCTCTGCTCTTCACTGCCACAATATGTTTGAGATTGAATTTAGTTCCCTAACACATACAACACTGCCAAAAAAGAGCAGAATTCATTTTAGACCGTGACATTTAATTATTTATGGTAATTATACACTGCAATATATACTCTCTACACTGCCACAATATGTACTGCCAAAAATTCATTGTCTGAAAGTTTTGGAGACAGAACATGATCAATCCCTACTGCCAAAAATTGAAGCGTGTATATTGAGTAACACATTTCATATCAATCTCTTTCATGTTCAAACCCCATTGTCATAAAATCAAGCACAAACTGTTTGCACAATATGAACGTCAAATCATAATTTATAACATTGGTAGTTTTATATGTAAGTCACATTTTACTGCCACATGATATATGGAAGTTAATGTGGTACCTAAAATTTTGTTTATGCTATAAACTTTAGATTCTCGTAGACATTATACACTCGCACATATACAATCTTCACTGCCACACTATAATACAAGTCTTAGTACACTTCCACATTTCACAAGGAATGTTACAGAATTAAAAGAATGCAACTTATACCATATTCACTTTTTGCAATTCGATGGTGCAAGTAGACAAAGTATTATATATTAATTCAAAATTCAAATTATATTATAAGGAGTACAATTATTAAAGGAATGAAAAAAAGCAAATAATGTGTCTCAACAACGTCAAAAATGGATGCAGGAAACAATTGAGAATTGTATATTATACGAAATACAAAACAATGCAGTCTGAGTTTGGTATTGGGTTTTTGCATGTTTTTACGTTATGCCCCAAATTTAAACAGCGTGTGCATCTTTGCTTTCTACGCCTCTGGCATATTTGAAATTCACCAACTGATGAAAGTCTCCTCTTCTTTGGTCTACCTGGGGGACGCTTATTACAAGATGGAGGCTTGCAAATCACTGATGCAATCACTATGTTATACTTTGAAGTAAAGCTTCCATGAGTATCACGTCCCATCAACACGTAGCAATATCATCAAATTGGAACCCATCTGTGATGCTCTTTTTGAATAATAGAGAAAACATTCTATTAAATTAAGTAAAGGAATGAACTCAAACAATAGACGTATAACCTAATATAGACATTCAGTCAAACACGTGAAGAAGTTGAAATCATGTCTCCTAACGCTTATACTTTGCACTAACATAGTAACTGTTTAAAAGGGACAAATACTTAGCATTTCAAAAATGATCACGCTACACCTATACTTCACACTGCGAACTTCAGTTTATTAAACATATACATCGCACAACACACTTCGAACTACACTACATTAATCTTCAATGGAGCAGCTTTGTTTTTAATAAAATTATGCTAACTACTTATACATAATTAAGACATTCAATACGACGAAAAATAGGAAATAAATACTTGGTATTTCAAAATTGATTTCACAACACCATAACACCTAATCTTCACACTTTCAAAAATCACAATGCCTTTCAAAATACCTAATTTTTCAAAAGGGACAAATACTTGGTATTTCAAAATTGATTTCACAACACCTAATCTTCAATACGAAGAAAACACAATAATTAAAACTAAAAAATACAGGGAAATCCGAATAAAAGGATGAAGGAATGAAAATTAAAAATTGAAGGAGAAGAGAAAATGATTAGCGACATCGAAGAAGGAAACATGGGAGAGAACCTGATGATTACCGCTGCTGATCGGTCAAGGAGTTATGGGCGAAGGGCTGAGGACGTGGAGTTCAATAACGTGCGGCCGAACGGAAGGAGAGATACTGGAGTTCAATAACTTAATTTTTAATGAAAAAAAGAAAAAAGGGTAAAGGGTATGATAGGAAAGGATTGACACCATAAATTGCTAAGTTTGTTAAAAATAATGAGTAGTGCTAAATGCGTAATTTTGGGTGAGTTAGAGTACTATGTAGGGTGATTTCTTTAAATTTAATATTCGTGATAAATCTTGATAAATTAATACACCATATAACTGTTTTTCTCAATTCGAGGGATTATTCTATTAATCTTTCTATCTGTATATGATCTTCTCATTTGACATTTTACAGTCTTCAATGCAACACTTTGACCATTAATATCTACATTTATACAAAGATATATATTTATGAAAATTTAATATTTCAAAACTATGTTTCAGAAGAAAACTATTGACATTATATTTATATTGAAACACAACACAACATAGTTTTTTTTCATATATTGAAGTCAAAGTTTACTGACAAGAAGAGTATTTAGAAGAAAAATATTCAGAAATTTGCAAATTCTTTTGTAGTTCTTAGGTTTATACTTATTTTATGAACTTTAATACATATGTATTGGGTTTCGTAAAACAAGAATTTAGACTACGAACTCATTGAAAATATGTAAAAATATCTACATTTTATATGTAGACTTTAGAACCACAATACCACAACACTATTAGTTCCATATTGTGTTGGCATTATTTTTTGACAATCGAATAAATTTACCTAGAATTATTTTAAATGTTTTATTTAGAATTCGAGTCCTAGCAAGTGAAGAAAGAGAAAGAGGAAAGAGCTTGAATAGAGAATTGTAATCTTACTTGGTTTACTATTCTTTAGGAGGAAGACATGGTTGAGACTCCTAAGTACACTCTAACAGGGTTATTATATTCCATATATTATCTTCTCCTTCCCTTATGGTTTGAGTGGGCGAAAATACGGCAAAAACATAGGCAAATCCGATCGGAAGAAAAACAAGAAGGTGCAGATTTTGACAGTGGAAAGTTTCTGGACAGCTTGCACGAATTCGATCATCGCTGGATATCCGACCATTGGATTTTGCTGAAAGTTTCAGAGACTGTTCCCAACACAGGGATTCAACGTGTTCAATTTTCACGTCAATCGGAGTTACGGATCTTCTGTTATCAAAGTTAAAATGTACATATTGTCGCTGGTTTTTTGCAGAAAACACAACTTTGGTTTTGTCGATGGTTGGAGTACCAAATCTTGTTCGATCGTGCTGAAACTTTAGGAAGAGTCTAAGGACTCGTGGAGCTTCTTTATTTTTTAAAATCAATCATATAATATTTTATTCTTTATAGTTGTATGTCACTAATCTATGTAACAAAAATAAGAAGACAAATTAAACAATATTTTTTTATTAATCTTAGTTAAAAGAAAAAATGGACTTAAATAATATAACGATGTCTCGTTTAAAAAAATAATAATAATGTTACATCACATTTTATACGTCAAAATAACTACAAAAATGACCCGAGACTAATAATATTAATTTTGCATTAAAAATTAATGATTTAATATGATTTATATTTTTTATTTAATTATAAAAAATGATTTAGATTGGCCAAATACACTAACCATTTCTATTTCAAAAACCAATCCCCCAAATAAAGTAATAATCCAACCATATTTAGGTAAAAGTGTATCACACCCTATTATAAAAACAACACTTATAATAATTTAAAACTTTATTTGTTTTAACATCATGAGAGCAAAAAAAAAAGAAGCATAAAAAGGCATCAATTCATTACCGTAAAAACTTTCAATATTTTCTTTGTTCCCACGTCTCAAGAGTATTTTTTACTTTACTAATTTTATTATTTTATAAACTCAAATAGAGAATTTTAATACAACAGAGGTAGTTTTTTAATATAATCTGGCATATGCAAATTTAAAAAATAAAAAATATGAGTTTTACACAATTTTTTCTTCATATATTAAATTGGTGTATGGACATTTAGTTTTTCATATTCTTAAAACATGTAAATTATAAAAATTATTAGTGTATGCACATTTAAAAGTAATGTAATGCTTACTTAAAAAATTAAGTACACAATTATTTTGGTCAAAATTTTAAAATGTTGACAAGAACACATTTCAAAAAAAATAGTTAACAAAAATTCAAAATCACAAAGGAAATTATAAATTATTTAGTTGAGTATTTAAATAATTTACGTAACTCAATAATAATTAAAACTTATGTCCAAGACATAATTTTTTAATACATTGTGACATTTAATCAATTTTTTATTTTATTGATATAATAATAATAATAATAATAATAATAATAATAATAATAATAATAATAATAATATATGAAAATAAACCCCAATAATTTTTAAAGTCATTGTTGGAAGAAGTTGGAAAAACCTGGAAGGAGTTGGAAAAACTGGAAAAAGTTGGAAAAACTGGAAGAAGTTGGAACAAACTGGAAGTAGTTGGAAGATACTTGATACGAACTTGTATCGGATACGGAAGACTCAGAGCGTCTTCGAGCTCTTGAGAATATGAGACGAGGAGGAAGAAGAAGAATTGAAGCGAAGGAGGGAATCGGCGAACCGAGAGAGGAAGGGAATTAAGGTTTGAATTGTTTATTGATTGAATTACTCTAAAGGGGGTTACATCTCCTTATATAGGGAAGAAGGAAACCTAACGCTAACCTGACTGTTCAATAAAAGCGACGAGGGAAAGAACCGTAAAGAAACCTCGAAGGAGCTTATAATTTCGCTCACCTAATAAAACCTAAATTACAACAACAACAACAACAACAACAACAACAATAATAATAAATATGTAATCAAATATCCTACTATATAATCCATAACACTCTCACCCCCTTAGAAAACCACCTTGTCCTCAAGGTGGAGGCTCCCACTCATGCTTCAGGACTGGAGAGAAAATGTTGACCCAAAGACTATGGCCACTTGATGATAGATCTTCATTAAGCCTGCAAATTGGAGTATAGTGATGGACATAAGAGAGAAGAGCAAATACAAACTTGGCTACCTGCGGTGAAACCCAATACTCGGACTCCACTATATTCGCATGGCTAGAGGTCTGGATGATATCAAAGGACAATGAGATGTCCGCTTGTGTATAATTCACATTTGCTACTTGGGCGGTTTTGGACGGAGGCACAAGGCTACATGCGATGATGACATTGCGCAATGTTTTATCCTTTGCAACCTCTCCCTTACCTGGGCCATCTACGGGTGTATCAACATCTACAAGAGCTGATGGAAAGGCATTAACAATACCTTCAACACAAACACCATCATCAGCAACTTCAGAAACTCTCGCTGAATCACCAATAGTACGCTCCACAGATTCCATATCCTTAGATGTAGGATTGTATAGAGTGGTTGTAGGGGCCAGATCAGGTGGAGCAATGGGAATGCCGAGAAGATTCCGTATAGCGTCCATCATCTTTGTTTTGAAACTTGCGAACTCCAAGGGAAGTTGACTTAATGCAATTGGAGGGCCACGAACCAAATCCTGTATCGAATAAGAGGCTTCCGCATTGAACACGTACAAATCAGAATCAGAATATGATAGATCTAAAAGATGACAAAACATGTGGAGCGTCTTCATAATTTCATCCACGTGATCATAAGCTATACAAACTCCGTCATGAAACTCAACTCGTCCATTAAAGATATTCTTCAACACACCAAGAAGTTTGTTCAAAGCATCGTCCATTGTCACAATAATTTTATCCAAAATCGAGACCATAGTTGTGGCAAGACGAATACCAACCCCAATTCCAAATGAAATTTGTAATGCTTAAAGTTATACCTCGTAACAAATACTTTCAACAACCAAGTTCTTACTGCCGAGATTAACAATCACAATTATGCTAATTAACCAACAGCCACCTTTGATAATTTAAGAAATATTTGCACTAAATAGCACTAAAACTTAAGTCATTTCCTTAAATAGCACTTAAATTATTTTATTCCCTAAATAACACTTAATAATGTCCATAATGTCATGTGATGGCAAATATTTGCTTGAATAATGACTAGTGTATAATGACTAAAAGTGCTACATTGGGAAGAAAAATACATGTGCTGCTATTTGGGGAAAGCCATTATGTTTTAGTACTATTTAAGTAAATTTCTCATAATTTAATCCACCCTCTGTTGACAGATTATGAGGCTTAGCTTCCTGGTGATGAGAACCAAGTGGCGGCTCCCAAATCTTTTACTGCCACAAGGATTAATTGCCACAAAAAGTTTGGTAGCCAATTGAAAATTCACTATGCACTCCTTTTTTTTCTCATGTGTGCCCCGAATTTGTGAATAAGCAACAGAAATATACTATTTTATATATATATATATATATATATATATATATATATATATATATATATATATATATATATATATATATATATATATATAGGCCGCCAAAGTTGGAGCAAAATAACCTTCCTTTTTTTTAATAGTGAGCCACTGGTTGTGCAAATTAAAGTACAAAAAAAAACGATCAGAGTGAACCTGGTGCGGGTGCCTTGAGCAATTCCTCGGACAATAACAATTCAGCGACCACAAATCTCGTGTCTACAAGGTTCGGCAGCGAATCAATTTTTTTGGGTTTTTTGGTTTGGATTGCTGTTTTAGGAGGCCGGAATTGGATACAGCGATTCGGTTTTTTTTTTTTGGTTTTTTTGTGTGTACAGCAATGGGTACCTTGTACCTCAAATATCCTACTATATAAACCATAACAATACTTGAAAGAGTTGGAAAAAACCGGAAGGAGTTTGGAAAAACTGGAAGGAGTTGGAAGAAATTGGAAGGAGTTGGAAAAAATTTGAAGAAGTCGGAAGGAACTGGAAGGAGTTGGAAAAAACTAGAAGGAATTGGAAAATGTGTTAAGAATTAACGCTCAAAAGAACACAACCTTACTTTTCCTATTTTATTTACTATTCACACTTGAGTTAAAAATCTCTATGTATTCCCTATTTATACCTGGGGGTTGGAACCTTCATCATTTAATAAGAGTGAGTCTTTTTTTGAGATGTTCAGATGGGAAATATAAAAAAGATGAGTCATGATAGTAGTACACCAAAATGGGGTATCCCATTTGTACACCAAGCAAACATAGATACTTAGTATCTGTGATCACAGACACTAAGTGTCTTTGTTTGCATGTGTACAAATGAGGTATCCATTCCTCTACCCCTTGATTTATTCAAAAAAAGAAGAAGATGTGTAGTGGGTGTCCCCAATGTAGCCTTGTCTTATATGGTTAAGTTGATGGTGGGATCTACATGCATGCTGCCGGGCCCCCCCTTTGGCTATAAATATGCCGCAAGTGATTAAATACTCTTCACCATCACTTCTCTTCTTTCTCTCTACTTATATTTCCACCTCTCACTCCCCCCCTTTGCTAAAGAACAAATAATACTCCATCAAATGTATATGGAGATCTTAGCTAAGAAAAAAAAGGTGAGCGAGCAAGATGGAGAAGCAGGGTACATGCATTACCACCTCATGTGTATACATAAATTAGCCATAATGAATGGATTCTCCCTCTTATTAGCTTAGCTTATAGCTAAGCTTTAGGAGTTGGCTTTATGTATGAGGTCGTGTTTCATGTGCCCTCTTTCTCCAACTTGACCACTCTATCTTATGCGCGCACAGGGAACTTAATTATTATTAGAAAGAAAGGTAAGTGAGCAGGATGGAGAAGCAGGGCACGTGCATTACTAACTCTAATAAATAAGCCATTATCAATCCTACCTTAGCTTAGCTTATCGCTAAGCTAGCTTGGGGAATTGGCTCTATACATGAGTTGGTATTTCATGTGCCATGGTTCTCCATCTTGACCGCTCTATCTTATCGCCATCGTTGATTATATGAATCTCATCCCTCGGCTCCATTCTTGTTCATGACAGGTACAATTTGAAATTATAAAAAAAGAGAGATCTTTGATGTAATTTATTCATAGAAGCCATGTTTCTTAAAATCTTTTTGAGGATATATAATGATAATGGCTAATTAAAGGAAAAATGAATTATTTGTTATTACTAATAAGTACTGATGTTATGTGTAGTTGTTAGCTAAAGTCAAAAGTGATTAGGTTTCTTTTAAAGGTTAATTATGTGTTAGGAATGCAGGATTATATAATCAACTACTCCAAACTTAATGTAGTTAGTTGGAACGCAAACCAAATCTAACTCTCATTATTGAGCAGAAAAGATAAGAGAATATGTAGACATTTACACAAATACTTATAAATATATAACTTTAGTGTTACTTTCCATTTTTGTCATTACTTTATTGTAGGGTAGAATATGATATGATGAATAGACTAATAGTTAATAGATATGATGTGATTTGTTTGCTAAAAATTAGAGTTGCATTTCACGGTCGTCTTTTGGGAAGAGGTTAGTTTAAGAAAGAATGGATCAGATGAAGAGCGAAATAGATTATATGTAATTTCTTGTGACTTGATCTTGTTATAAAACTGATAATCAATATTTTTTCTTAATTATTTGCTTTAATTTTCAAGAAAATGTAATAAAAAGAAACTAGTGAACTCCTACATGTAATATTCACTAACAAGGAAGCTGTTTCAGTTTAGGTTATTTTTGGTGTGTTGGGTCATCTTTGTATATGGAAGTTTTCTCACCATGGCCACAACTCAACCAGTTTGCATGGAACTGATCCTTTGTTTGTTGCTTCTGAACTCCAATTGGAAGAAAGGGACATCACATCACAGCAGAGAGTTTTAAATTTTTTCTTTTGTGTTGGCAGTGACTATCTCTGTGTTGGAATATTCTTGTCTCTTTTTTTTTTATTTTAAAAAAAGCCATTGTTTTTATTTTTGTATTTATTATAATTATTTCCTTCTCTGCTTCTTATGTAATTTGTTTTTTTCACACAAAAAAGAAATTGTTTGCCTAAAAAGAGTTAAAAGTGATGAATAGACATTTCACCGACTTTGAGCTTTGGTAGCTTCAATTATTGTTGTCTAGCTTTGCATGTTTAGATGGGAGAGTGAAAACTTCACATTTCCCTTTCAGTTGATTGGATGAAGTGTTAAAATGGCAATGGGCTCACCCCTATGCACCAAGTCTTGACAACCCTTTGCATTTTTTATTTTATTTTATTTTTGATATGGTGCTTGCAAGTTGTCATCACCCTCTGCTGCCCACACTTTTTCAATCTCATTATGAAAATTTAAAAAAAAAGAAACTAAATTTGGCACAAAACACTATTGATGCAATATTTTTAAAAGCTTAATGACCATTGGTGCAATTTTTAAAGTTAAGGGATAATATGAATGATGCAAAAAAAAACTCCCTTTTGAAATTCTCAGATGGTAAGATTATGGTAAGATGACAAAGCTAACCACTCTATATGTTGGACAATTCATATGATTTTATTTTCAAAATAAAGTAATTGGACAACTTATCCCTGAAATGAGGCACTAACACACACCCTTTACTAATGAATACAAAGATTCTATGCAGAAAAAGTGACTCACCATTCTACCATCACATGAACAGATAAGCCAGCAGTACTCAATCTCATGATGTAAGGGTATGGAGGTAGTTTACAATGAACTTTGTACACTATGGAAGTAATGATTTGGCAAACAAATCATTGCTTACTAAGAAAGAACCCATGATTTTGACAGTCCCAAATGTTGTTCTCAGTGGCCAATGTGACAAGAAATTGATATGAAAGATTAGTTGACTTTATACATGGCTGGGAAGTGTACAAAATATGTCATATTCCTTGGCTGGTCAGGAATGGAGATATGAAAGTTCTCAACAGATGAATCAAAAAGGGGATGCCGTGTTTACGAAGCTGATTAGAAACAGATATATTTGGCAGTTTCTGCCTCAGGAATATCAACATGTCCTCATCATTGTAACCAAATCAAAACTGCAGCATTGAAAGTTCTTGGGGTACAAATTTACGTATAAGCCCCTCCAACGTGTTCGATTGAGGAACGAAACCCTTGTTCAGCATATCATGTAGCATCTCACAGGCTTCATCAGTCTCACCATTTCTAAGCAGACTATTGATTTGAAACTCGTACGTTCGACAATTCATTTGCACACCCTTTAGTCTCATTTGGCCAAGAACTTCCCTCGCTTCGTTTAACATCCCATTCCCACACAAGGTCTCTAAGAGTACATTGTAAGTGTTAAAATCAGGTCTGCAACCTACCTCTTCCATGGAAGCAAACATCTTTATCGCCTCCTCTACCTTATTCTGCTTGCACAAACCATTTATATAGATGGTGAAAGTAGACAACGTTGGGACCAAACCCAACACAAGCAATTCGTCAAACAGCTTATCCACCTTCTCATAGTTGCCTTCCAAGACTAACACTTCCAGGACCAAGTTATAGCATTTGATATCAGGCATTATTCCATCAATTTGCATCATTTTCAAAACTTTTGCTGCTTCTTTTCCTTTACCCTTCTTCCCCAAAAACCTCATTGCATAGTAAAAATCCAATCTTTTCGGGCTAACCCCCAACTTCTTTGTTTCTTCCAGGAAACCCACAATGTCAAACTCATCACAGCCATTTTGTTCACACATTGCTGATAGTATCAATGAACATAACTTCCCATCTGTATCGACCCCGCATTCGACCAAGTAATAAAATATCTCGACAGCGTAATTAACTTTCCCGATCTCACAAAGAGCCCTAATTAACAACCCATAAGAAGATCCATCAATTTGGACATTCATCAACTCACTCTTTTTCAAGATTTCAGGTATGTTCTTAAGACCCAATTCATTTTTACAGAGAACAGATAGAAGAGCATTCAATGATTTCACAGTTGGTGTACATCTAAACCTGGGAATTCTCAAGAACAAATCAATGGCAGATTCCAGTTCATCGACATCACCATAAAACTTAATGAGATAGATAAAAATACCCTCGGGCACCTCAAAGTTGCAAACTTTTTGCAAATGGTCAAGAACTTGAGGGATCAATCCATAGTAGCAGGGGTATCTGGTGATTAACCTCAGGACATAATTGTAAGCACTTGGAGTGGGGTCACATTGGTAGGCCGCAAATGAATCTATGAGGGCTGAAAATGGGTTTATGGTTTCAGGGGATTCAGAAACCCTTTGGACCAGGCTCTGCATCGACAGCTGGTGAGCGAACTTGTCGTGCCACTGTGTTTTGTGCGGAGGTATCGGCCATTTTCTTGTTTTCCTCAGGTAGTAGTTTTTCAATCGGGTTCTTGAAGAAGATGAAAACAAAAGAGATGAATTTTTTGTTCTCAGCTGGCAGATTGGTAGCCTGCTTGCCCGCGACATAGTTCAGAGAATCTAATGAGGATGGAGCAGAGAGAATTGGTTGTTGGCAACCATTTGGGTACCGGCGCAAAGTCCGAATTTTTCTCGGGTTTGTCAAAGAGCTTAGTTTTTGATAAAGTAGATTTCACAGATAAATTATGTGTGTTGGCTGTGTTTGGTGTGCTGTATAAATTGATATACCATTTTGATGTACTTTTAACTTTATTGGTGAGAATAATATAAAAATAATTTATGTAAATAATAAATAAAATGCAAACACTACAATTAATGTAATTAGTTTTAATATACTTTACGCCGAAGTACTATATATTTTGGATAGTAATAATACTTATAGTGTTTTTGATAATTTAAAAGTAAATGATATAGATCAAACAGAAAAATAATTATAATTTTTGAAATGCTTCTTTATTGATCGTGTCTATGGACTCAATTTTTGAGTAGTAGGCCAACATGCAATATAGATTATCCATGATTTTTTTAGTTATTGCATACGAAGTCATGAAGGAAAAATTGTTTCCTCGGAAACATGAAAAGAATTCTTTTATCAAAAGGAGTCAAAGCAAGTTTAGGATTACAACTTCATGACCAACTAGTTCCCTTGTCATAACTTTCTCTTGAAGAAAGTATTTCTCTAGTCTTGTCACTATCAATCGTATATCATTGAACAAACTCATGGATTGATCGATATATCTAAGAAACATAATTGGGGTATTGACCTTCAATGTAAGTACATGCTATGAAACAACGGAAGCTCTAATACAATTCAGAAATTTAGGTGAATGTAAATCTGGCAAACGATCCAGATTTGAGATTAACTTACAACCACTATCGAAGCTGAAGTAAGTTTTAGACTACTCACTCTCATTCTTAAATGTCATGTAATTATTAATTGCATCAACAACATCGAATGTTAGTGCTAGAATAACGATGTAGTGCAAGTAGGGTGGATTGTTGGCTATATTTTTAAAATCCTGGTATGTCGATTGCACACATAATTACCTCGATTGGACCATTAAAATATTTCAAAAGAATATCTGTTGTGTGTATTTATTTATTCCGATTAGGCTCAGGTCACCCGTAAAATCGATTTACGATTGTGCACTACTATAGAACCAAAAGAAGCAACACCCCAACCCAACCTCGCCACACTCCACTCACAAAGAATCGGAGAAGAACAGAGAGAGCACACAGAGGAAGAGAAAAACCCACAAGGAAGACTCACAAGAGAGATGAAGGATTTTTGCATGGTTGAAGAAACTGAAGGCAGCCCCCTCAATATATAGTGGAGATTATGGTGGTGATTAAGGCAAGCTTAATTAGGTTAAGGAGTAAAGGTTGGGCTTGAGTAAATGGGCTGCTGGGTTGGGTGTTAAATAGTTATTAATATGTTTGGGCCAACCCAAATAAATTAACAATCTCCACCTTTGGCCCAAAGTAGTGCACATAGTTGACAAGGAACCGTGTGACTCATCATAGCCTAAGAACCACTAAATGTGTAATCTACAAATGAGAACCCACGTAGTGGTGGAGAGTTCACTAAGTACTTTCAAGTCACGAAGACTGGGCAACATCACAAAGCATGCAAAAAAATAACTCACGAAGAGTCGAACTCTACCATTGGGTCAACGAGTTCAAAAACAAAAAAAAAGCAAAAGTCACAAAGACAAAAAAAAGAACAAAAGATCAATACAAAATCACAGAGATAGGTTTAAAATCGTTTGACATAAGGTAAATTTTTCAACAGGTAAACACTTAGTACCCATGTCAGCTGGATTAGACTCCGTAGGAATTTTCTCCAGCATGACAATGCCCTTTTCAACTATGTCTCTAATAAAATGAAACCTAACATCAATATGTTTTGTTCTATCATGAAAAACAAGATTTTTGCGTAGTTGAATGGCAGATTGACTATTAGAAAAAACAACCACATTTTTATCAAGCAAGCATATTTCAGATAAAAGACCTTTAAGCCAAATGGCTTCTTTAAAAGCATCTGTGGCTCCAACATACTCAGCCTCAGTAGTAGATAAAGCAATAATGTGTTGAAGTTGAGACTTTCAACTAATGCAAGAACCACACAAAGTGAACACGTAGGAAGTAGTGAATTTTCTATTATCCCTATCGTTTGCATAGTTAGAATCCACATAGCCAATGAATTTAACACTTTTATCACTTCTAGAAAAAGTTAAACCAACATTCCTAGTAGATTTCAAGTATCTAAAAAGCCATTTTAGAGCATTCCAATGAGCCATAGCAGGATTAGACATGTATCTACTCAAAGAACTAACATCATATGCAATATCAGGCCTAGTGCTAATCATAAGATACATCACAGAACCAATAGCATTCGAATAAGGCACACTTTTCATTTCATTAATTTCAGCTTTAGTTTTAGGGCACATATCCGTACTCAACACAAAGTGAGCAACTAAAGAAACATCCACAGGTTTAGCATCAGACATAGCAAATTTACTCAAAATCTTATCAACGTAGGAATTTTGATTTAAAACAAGAGTAGATTTCTTCCTGTCCCTAACAATATTCATGCCAAGTATTTTTCTAGCATCTCCTACATCTTTCATGTCAAAATTTTGGCAAAGATAATTTTGAACATGCTCAATAGACTTTAAGCTAGGACTAATGATTAACATATCATCCACATAAAGGAGAAGAAAAACATGTATAGAGAAAGTGTTCTTGAAGTACAAGCAGTGATCAGCATTGCTTCTCTTAAAACCAAAGTTTTTCATGCAATTATCAAATTTAATGTGTTATTGCCTAGGTGATTGTTTTAAACCATACAAAGCCATTTTGAACAAGCACACATGATTAGGCAACTTAGGATCAACAAATCCTTCAGGTTAGTGCATATAAATTTTTTTTATCAAAATCACCATGTAAGAAAGCAGTAGTAACATCCATTTGTTTTAATTCCCAATTATACTGAGCAACTAAAAACAACATGATTCTAATTGTGGTGAACTTGACAATAGGAGAAAAAAATTCTACATAATCTATTCCCTCCTTTTGAGTAAATCCCTTAGCCACAAGTCTATCCTTAAACCTAACATTTTCAGGTTCTTGCCTAACTTTAAACAACCACTTACAGTCCACAAGAGAACAATTTTCAGGTTTTGGCACAAGTTTCCACGTTTGGTTAACAAGAAGGGATTCCATCTCACATTTCATAGCACTAACCCATTTTTCAGAACATTTAGATTCTAATGCTTCACGATAAGTCTTAGGTTCATCACACTTGAGGGATTCAAACACATGAAAAGCAAACTCAGACATATTACAGTCATCAACATATCTCGCAGGTTTGCTAATGGTTCTTCTATTTCTATCCCTAGTAAGTTGATAGTCATGCAAATCATTTTCAACATGTGATTCTACACTATCATGCTCCACCTAATTAGAAATAGTCTCATCTTCATTAGTGTGTGAATCATGGTTCGTATCAACATGTTCATTAGTTTCTACATGCACATCAGTAGGAATGATAACAGGCAATTACTCCACCTCATTTGGAGCCACATTTTCAACATTGGGAATATGCAAGGACAAACAAGGAAAATTATTTTCATTGAAAACAATATTTCTACTTATCACAATCTTAAAACCTGGTTCACCTTTTACCCACAACCTATAACCCTTTACCCCGTCAGGATACCCCAAGAAAACACATTGTTTAGATCTTGGTTCAAGTTTATCGTTCATTTGATGCACATAACCAGCACAACCAAACACACGCAGGTTTGATAAATCAAGGGGTTTTCCCGAGAAAGCAACTTCTGGGCAATTCCCTCCTAAAGGTATAGATGGAGACCTATTGATCAAATAAGCAGCAGTGCAAATAGCTTCACCCCAAAATTTTTTAGAAAGTCCAAAAGTAGCTAACATGGCCCTCACCCTCTCTAAAAGAGTTCTGTTCATCCTCTCAGCAACCCCATTTTGTTGAGGCATGTAAGGAACAATTTTGTGTCTTTTAATACCCCAAGTAACACACAAATTATCAAGTTGTTTGTTGCAAAATTTAAGGCCATTATATGTCCTAAGTCTTTTTATTTTCATTCCAGTTTGGTCCTCAATCAAGACTTTCTAGTTTTTAAATTTATCAAAAACTTCATATTTTTGTTTCAAAAGTAAGACCCAAACTTTCCTAGAATAATCATCAATTATGGAAAGAGAATATTGGTTCCCTCCGTGAGTGGAAACACTTGCAGGACCCCACACATCGGCATGCAAATATTCAAGCACATCAGAACACTTAGTTCGAGTAACGGGATTCGTGTTAGGAAAACTAACGCGGGTTTGTTTTCCAAGCACACAAGATTCACAGAAAGGAACATGCATAAACTTATTACTACCCAAGTGCCCATCTTTATGCAATATTTCAAGTCATTTATTACTCATGTGACCCAACCCTTTATGCCATAGAACAGAATTATCAACCACAGAATTAGCATGCTCACAAACAGGTTCAGCTTTGCACACATACAAGTTATTTTTCTTTTCAGCTTTGAAAATTAAACAACAATTGAACCCTTCATGATTTTCATAACACATTTCCCCCATTTTCCCTCAAAACCCTCATTTTCAAGAGATGCACAAGAAAGCAGATTATATGACAAATCAGGCACATGTCTAACATTCTTTAAATTCACAATAGATCTAGAACTAAATTTAAGACACATATCTCCAATTCCAAAAACATTGCATTTCTTTTCATTAGCCATGGATACAATAGCATTATCAATCTCTTGATAGTTTAAAAAAAAGTTTTTGAATGGTGACATATGAAAGGTGTAACCAGAACCAACTAGCTAATCAGATTCACAGAGATAATCT